ATTATTATAAGGAACTTATAGTACTGTTTCTAAATTTTTGTTAATTTTGTTTGTTTTGATGATCTATGAGAAAGAGTAAGCATTCTCTTATTCTAATTTTTATAATTATAAAAAAAAGCTAGTATTTATTAAGTCAGATTCTACTTATTAGCTAAGGCACTTATTTTTTTATGCTTTTGTCTAGCCTTTATCTTCTTCTGCAAATTTAGTAAAGTGTCAAACCTTAGACAGATTGCAAGGAAATTATCTTCTGGCTTAATAAGATCAAATATAATAAATTCACCTCTTTGAAGATAGCTATTAATAACTATAAATGCATTTTTTATCTTATCAGTATAACAATCAGCTATCTTAGACATATCTTGTTAACTACTATCATTATTATATATTACTAAATGAAAGATATACTTATAAATAAATGTAAGAACTTTATAATATTTTTAAGTAACATATATACTTGAAATATTTCAATGATGTTCATTTTCAAAAATTAGCTAATTTGATTCTGTATATGTTTGAAGGCTAAATACAGATTCTTAAAAATAATTAGTAAGCTTCTTTTAGATAAGAATATTCTTGTATTAGGAATTCTTTTAAGTAGGAGTTACATCTTTCAAATAATAAAAACTTTTCTTAAAGAATATTGTATTTGGTTCACTCTCATGAGATGTAAGAAATAAGTTGAACTATTTTTTTGCTTAACCTGCAAAAAAAGATGAATTAGTTCCTGATTGCTTCATAAGTTTATAAAGTGCATAAAAGTCTCTTCACAAACAATTGATTAATATAGTCTACTCTTTGTTAAAAATAATATCAAAGTTAAAATTATGCAATATCTTTTTCTTATTATTTTCTATTAGAAAAGTATAATTTCAGTTTTTTGTATTATGTTTCTGTCAAAATTAAAAATTTATTAAAATTTTATCCATCTTTTTGACAATAACTTTTCTATTATATTTATTATATCTATATTCAGATTTAAATTCTTAGATGACTAATTCCCATAATCTGTCATAAATTTTTAACATAATATGGAGCTTGTTAGGTATATAATAATCCAAAAGGATCATTGAAATGAGAGGTGCTTTTAAATAACTAGATGGTGATCTTGCAGCTTTAATTTGTTTCATATTTTTTTCAATAATATAAACTTTATCTTTTATACCTATATCTTTTTTAGTACACAAGCATCAAGAACAAAAATAAGATGCATTTGGTACATTGAATCTCAAGATTATGCTTATAAATTTCTAATCACTACTAAAAAAATACATTATTTTCTATTTAATTTTAGTAAAATTGTCTAATTTATTTTTTATTAAATTATCTAATTTACTAATTACCAGTGCTATTACTTTCTTTAAAAGATTATAATATTCTGACTTAGAGCATAAAATGATTATATAGTAATAATCAGCATTGTAAAAATTTGATATATTGTCTAGAATTACACATGTAATCATTATATGCTTGATTTTTCTATCTACATTTCTATCATCATCTGATATACAGATATGGATTACAGGATTATTTATATTTAAAACTTTATAATCTACAAGTTCTAGAATTAAAAAGAATAAGATGTTTGTTATTTGTCAATAGCTTGCCTTGTTGATGTATTTTAGCATCTCTTCTTTAATCTCCAGATTATCAATATTAGATGACTTATTTGTAGCTATAAATGTAAAAAATATATTTGTAATATTTAAAATTGAAATAGAAATTTGTTAACTTATCTTCTTATTAATTTTTTTTCTAGTACTTAAAATAGCATAATCACATTGTAGCTCATATTGAAGGGCAGCTAACTTTTTATAAGCATCTCTAGAAATTGAACTTTGATTAATAATTTTTGTAATTGTTTCAGTATATTAATTATTTTTTTCTTTATTTTTATGAAAACTAAATATAATCCTTCTCTTGAACATTAAATCATAACTCTTAGAGGGTTGATTGATCAACCAGATTATAGAACTTGGAAATTACATTTTTAAAGACAATACCAACTTGTATTAAAAATATGCAAGAACATTTAGTTTTCATAGACTCACTTAACATGTGAAATAGTTTGAAAGAATAAGAGTAATTTTTTTTTACTCTTTTTTTATGTTTATTGTATTAAGCCCAAACAATGAACTTCAAAAAGTTTGGTGTATATATTTGGATTTCTTGTCTATATAAAAGAAATAATAGAATTTTATTTTATTTTATTTTTTTTATAAACTTATATATACATAATTATAAAAATTTATTATTAAGGGGTGTGGCGACCTAGTAAAGTAGTCAGGTTGTCAACCCTCCAAGTGGTAGGTTGGGTGTTCAAATCCCATCGACGGCGAAAATTTGGATAATCACCTAT